GGGGAAAACAAATTCTTTTATTTTTTTTATTAAGAATAAACTATCCTTTCACGTTTTCTGTAAGATTTCAGATTAGTTCTCTCAGACAACTATCCTACAAAGGAAGCTCTCAATGCAAAGAATAAGATTTTAGAGAGATCACTGCTATTTTTCCGCTCTGGCTTTATAAAATCATCTGATATGCTAGATGAAATAACTGCTATTGTTTACATCTTGCCCTTCATTCTTTTATGTCATTATTAGAGTGACTTACCTGAGAGACATAGTTACAAAGGCTTACCTTCAACAAGGAATCAAATTACACTTGATGAGAAGCTTAATGTTGTCAAAAGTGCTGTAGAAGATCTTAAGAGAAAGATGGAAATTTTAATTTTGGAGAAATATTCTTGGAAGTTCCCACCAGGTGAGTTTTCCTTTTTTTGAAATCTCTTTTTTAGAGGGACTGTATCTAGCAGGGTCCTGCATGTGACCCTCTTCAACTCAGTCTCTTACTTTGGGGGGGGGATTGGACTGCTGTAATTCAGCACTACTTTGACCCTACAGTAAAGATCTGTATGAAAGAACCATTCTTACAAACAGGTAGGTCTGTAACTTTGGAAACCAAAAACTTCAGGGAAAAGAGGTGTGCATGTGTGTGATTGTTATAAACCTCCATGCAGTTTGGGAGACAATATGATTACTTTATACTTTTTTCATGGGAGCCCAAAAGAAAAGAACTGACTGACATGCAGGCCAGTAATGGAGAATGAAATATAATCCATTTAAATATTTTTTTTCTAAATATAGAGTAATATAACAGGAAAGTCTTTGCTAAGAACAGACAGAAAATTCCCTCCCACCAAAAGCTGTATCAAAGCAAAGTTTTAGATCTGGTATGGCCTTTGCTATGGAGTTCTCCTCCTCGTAGCACTGTCTGTCTGCTGTAGAAAGATGACTGAGTGTTTTTGAGAGCGACTTAAGACCCACCTAAAGCCTCACTGCCACTGAGGGGCAATCCTCCCCTTCCCACCCTTTCCAACACTACCTGCCTTTTTCAACCACTGGTTCTCAAAACCCCCAGATACTTAATCATATTTTTATCTCAGGGTTTTTCTTATCTTGATCATTTCAGCAATTGAGTTTACAGCTTTGCTCCACAATCATTTTTACTAGCAAAACCAAGGAATCAGTGGGCAGAGGTGTGGGGCAAGAACTTCTAAGGATGTCTTTCATGATGAAGGCAGTGTATTATGTAACCACATCAGGAAGTGTCTGCAAATGAGTCTTGTAAATATGTGCTACAATATCATAGAAAATTAGAAAGAGCCCTTAGAGCTGTAGGGCTGAATGTCAGGCTTTTTGGTCAGCAATTAGCATAAAAAATTACTTTGTGCTTGTGAAATGCATGTGCAAGTAACACAAGAAACACATGATACTCGGAAAAAAACAGAGAACACCATGAACACTTTTATGACAGAAACTGGTTTATCTGCATAGAAAGATCCAACTGCTTTACCCATCCAACTTTTCTGACTGCTCCATTCTGACCACACTTAGGGCAGTGGCATACATTTTTGGATAAAAATGTTTGCCTACACATCCTTTGATAATTTATACAATCAAAAAAGCAACTCTGTTTTGTGCTTTAACTACTAGCTTCCTTTAGAAGCATAAATACTTCCTATTTACATTTTGAAGAAGTGCCTTAACACTTTGATTTTTTTCTTATTTAGTGCAAGCTCCAGTCTTGCATCAGGAGACAAGTGTCTGCTCATTATCTCCAGAGTCTGCAGCTAAAAATCCAGAACCAATGATTTCAAGCCAGTTTTCTCAGTGTAAGTATGCAAGCCAGCATGACTCTTCAATAACAATATTCAAGTGACTATGAGACTGTGGATTTGCTGAAGAAAACTGTACTTACAAACATCAGCAGGAGATCTGGCTCTTTACCTGAAGCATAGAAACACAATGAAGTTACCATGAATTAATCTGTTACTGCAGCATAATGCAATACTATACCTGACTGCATATGCAAGATAAAAAGGATAAGAAACCTGTTTCATGGAGGTATATAAGCTGTGTTGTAGCTTGTGCTGGCTGCAGGGTCTAAGTTGGTGTATGGGCAGTTGCTGCACCTTACTAATCTTTACTGTGTTAAGCCGTAATGACTCCATTTGTTGTCTGAATTCTGCATCGTTTTTACAGAAGTATTTTTACAGTCAACACACAGTACTACAGCTGTAGCTTAAAACACAAAACAAATGTTTTTGCTGATAAAATATGCAAGAACATGTCCCAGTGAGCAGATGACTGTGTAAGTTTTATTAAGGTAAGCATCCCATTTATTATTGGCAAAAGGGTAATTTTTTACTAACATTGTGGTTAGGAATAAGTTCCATGCTGTAGGGTGCCAAGTACCTTCACCTTCCCACTGGGGTGCATGAGTCTGTCATGGATGTTTACACAATTGTGCCTGTTAAATGTTTCAGTACACTCAGGATACAGTTGTTAGTGTTTGGTTGAGGATTCTTGCTGGTTCACAGGATTGAACTTCGATTAAGGTTTATTGTATGATCACTGGTTTTCATTTCTGTTCTTGAGTAGGGATGCACATCCACTGTTATTTAGGATGCAAGTAAATACTGAGGTGTTCTGCCTTCTTATTGCCTGCAGGTGAGAATATTTTCCTTTCTCTCTTCTAGGGGCAGATGATGTGACTTTTGATCTCACAAGAGTATATAAGCGCTTAGCAATCACAGCCCAGAACAGGAAAGTAATGGTTTCCAGCTACCCAACTGATTATGAACCATTGCCCAACAGATTCAGCATCAGCCAAGTGATGTGTTCGCAGAGCTTCTCTACTGGGTGCCACTACTGGGAAGTAATTACCAAGGACAGTGATGGATGGGCTGTTGGAGTTGCTCATGGAACAATTGGTAAAAGGGACAAATTAGGAAGAACAGAGCATTCCTGGTGTGTAGAATGGCTAGGTTCCAAAAAGCAGCTGTCAGCATGGCATAAGGATCAAGAGACATTGTTACACGAGGATAAACCATTGAAGGTTGGAGTTCTTCTGGAGCTACAAAAGAAGACTGTGTCATTTTACTCTATCACTGACAAAGCAATGCTTTTGCATACTTTTGAAATCAATACCTCAAATCCTCTTTACCCTGCTTTCTGGCTATATAGTCTAGAAAGAAATGGATCTTTAACTATAAATCATACGAACAGGAGATAAAGCCTGTTCAGAAAAGTGACAATTTTGCCTATGACTGCAGAACTTCTACACAAGCTTCAGTGTTTAGCACAGGAATTTACCAAGGAGTATATAGCTACCCAGGCTTTCGTGGAAATCTTTGTCTGCTCTGCTTTTCTTCATGCTGTGCTCTGATCTAGCCATTCTTCATTAAAGCAATTCCAGTGTATACTAAAGGTGGTAACCATCAGTGTGGGAGTGAGGTAGATTTCTTAAGCAGCTTTAAATAGTCCCAGGATATCCCTAGGAAGGAATGCACCAAGGAAGCTCTGAGGTTGAGGATAAGCCCTTCCCATGGACCTCATTTTCCTACATTGATCCAAAAAATTACAGGAGAACAGATGATGTCATTACATTCTGTCAAGTGAGCTTTCTTTAGAAATATCTGATTGAGTAAGGAACGCTCAGAGGGCAAGCATGTTACTGATCTCATGCATGAAAACCTTTCTCTTTAGAGTAGGTACTAAACTACAGGAAATAGGCTTTGTATTTGAGGACCTGACACTTCAGGGAGGTGTCCCAGAAGAACATCATCTCACTGGCACCGTATCTTGTTTTAGTCTTGCCTAGGTCAAAGGGTTGTCACTCCTGGTGGTGGTGTGACCACAGGGATGGTTTTGGAAGAGGATGTTTTCAAATGTGTTTGTACCAGCTAATAAATCATGCGGTCACTTTATTGCTCTTTTAAAGAGCCAGCAAACAGGCAATGTGTCATGGAGAGGACCATCTTTTCTTGCCTGAGGGAACAAGAGGTTCTACGAGTTTCCTTGCCAGCATACAGGCAATGTTTCGGCCCTTGTTTGTCGCATCTTTCTAGCTGTAGGGAGGTCCCTGTTGCCTGTGAGGGGTGACGGGGCCAGAGCTGAGATCCTGCAAAACCTACTGACAGCTGAATTTCTGAGAGGACCACTGCTTCATGCAGGCAAACTGAAAACAGAGTTCCCAAGAAGCAAAAGCTTTTTCAGGAAGACAGTGGCATTCCAGAATGACCAAAATAAGAAGTTTAATGTGAATAAAGCATGTGGGATTCAAACAGCTCATTTAGCCAAATGGAGCTCCATGGCTTTTAAAGTCAGGGACAGAACTGCTGGTAATCTTCAAGGTTACTCTCCTTTGCTGTCACTGAACACTCTGAAAGCACTCTGGACTACATGCACATTTGTCAGATCCCAGAGGTGTGTGTATCAGCTTCTACAAGTCTGGGGGGTAGCGCTCTCCCAGTGTTGCCAACAGCGTAATGCACAGCTGACACCACTGCCTCTTGTCAGGACTGATGTGTCCTTTCCTGGTCCATCTGGAGAAGACCAGCGACAGCATGATGAACTCCCAGGGTACCTCTAACTTTCCACATACGCTTTGTTACGGTTTGGATCATAAATTACCACACAATGGAAAGGCGAGTGTGTTGTCTCGCTTCTGATGTGTTGTCGGGCGCACCACTGCAGCCAGCACCGTTTCATTACAGTACGTGAAATCTGCGTCGTGGCTCCTTAACGGCAGAAACCCGAGTCACCGTCCCGGGGCAGCCCGGAGCAGCGCTCCCCCTCAGAGCGGGGCAGGGACCCGTTAACCCGGCGCGGGGCTCTGAGAGGGGCGGCCGCGCAAATCGCCTGAGGGCGGCGCGCGGCCTCGAGCGCCCCGCGCAGCCGCACGCAGGCGCGCGGGCCGCCCCTCCCCAAGTCTGTCCTTCGCGAGCCGCCGTACGCCGCCCGCTTCGCGGCGGGGAGGAGGCGGTGCGGGGTAAAGCGGGGGGGCGGTTCGCGGCGTGAGGGGATCCCAGGCCGCAGCGGTTCCGCTTCTCCCGCCGAGCCCGATGTGAGGCGCCCCGCGCCGGGGCCAGGGAGCGGGGCCATGAAGAAGGACGTGAGGATCCTGCTGGTGGGAGAACGTGAGTGCGGGAAGGGCCGGGCCGGCCCCGGGGCAGGGCGGGGGCCGCTGGGGTGAGGGAGAGCTGCTGTCGCCATGCCGCCGGCTGTCAGATCGCCCTGGTGCTGCGGGGCCGGGGGCGGGGGGGGTGTCCCTCATCCCTGCCCGGGCTCCTTCGCCGAGGGGCGGTGAGCCCGGCCCAGGTCGTCCGGGCGAGGAGGGGAGCCCCGGCCCTGCGTGGGTGGCAGAGGTCGGGTTGGTGCCCCGTGACCGCTCCGTGCTTGATTACAGCAGCGGGAGGGACGCGCCGGTGGGCCCGGGAGGCTGTGGGCGCGCTCGGCCCGGGAGCTGCCGGCATCTCCCGTCCCTTCGGTGGGTACCGAGCTGGCAGCGTGCAAGTCGGCTTGCGGAGTTGGCGTGCTTCTTGGGTCCCGGGAGGTGAAACCGGGGTGAAATTCTTGCCCTGTATTTGGTCACGTCCCGTTTGAACTTTTTTTTTTTTGTGTGTGTGTGTATGGAAACCAAACTTAAATCTTTCTTATTTACTGAGTGTGGAGATCAGTGGCCAGATGTGCTCCAGGCGGTTATCAGTCGGGTGTTGCGGATTTGTTGCTAGGACAGGGCCAGGGAGTCCAGATCCCTGCTTCTGCCGTTAACTTACTGTATGACCTTGACTAAACTGCACGTACTTACGTGCATGCGAAAGTTACAATGGGTCTGTGCTTTTTCATGTGTTTTTAAAATTATGTCCTTAAGTTCACACTTAGGTACCCAAATAAGTGGCTAGGCTTTCAAAGATACAGCTTCTTACTGATGTAAGTAGCAGCAAGGAGGTTCTGTTTTGTTAGTTTGTAAAAGTGCGCTTAAGTTCCTTACAAGAAAAGAATACAGAGTAATTACCAAGTGTTATTAGTAAAATTACTTAATTATACTAAGAATGTAGTACTACTAACAAAGCTTTCCTGAGAGTTGAGTACCTCATATATATTTATAGTACAGTTTATGCAGTTGTTTTATAGTGCAGGTTGGCTCTGTCTATACAGACTAGAAAGATCCTGTATGACTTCTTTAGAGAGGAATCTTCAGGGAGATGGTACTATGCAGAAAGAGTTAAATCATTAAGGTTGCATTTGGCTAGTTTTACAAGACTCGGTTTATTTAGAAATGTATTTGTGCATTTGAATACACAGTTGAATTTCTCTTCAGAATGTGTGCCTGATTTACCTTAGTTTCTTTGGTAATGGTGTGTTCTGAACTGGCTGTGTACAGTAGTTTAAGTACAGGTATAACAGGTGCTTTGATTTGGCAGTTAGGTTTGCAGTGTGTTCAACTGAAAATTTCAAAGATACAGGTCTCTTAAATATAGCAACCTATAGTACATGGCACACATCAGAGATCGTGAGCATCTTTATATTGTATTTCAGTTGGAATTGTAACAAACAGAAGAGAGAAATTTGTTTTACAAATCAGTAAAACTTGTCAGTTATACTGCTAGTACTGTTTTATACACATGTCTTTATATATTAGTCTGAAACCACAAGTTAGTCAAGACTAATACTTGCTAGATGATAACAGTGGACCATCAGATTCAGACTCTGAAATATCATATGAAGACCTTTTGTTGTAAGCCTGTTCCAAAACACAGCCTTTCATCCCCAGTGGTCTGCACTTTAGGTTTAAGGTTGTTTTAGTGCTGGTATCCACAGTGCAAACACAAATTTTTAATAACCAATAATTTTCAGAATATGTTCAGCATGTTATTTTATGCAGCATGACCTAAAATACTTATATAGGAGGAAAAAGAAGAGTTGATTATCACAAAGTGCTGTGCTGTTTTCTTCATCCTAGTCAGCTGATATTGTTTAGGCTGTTATTTTTAAGACTATAAACAGAATTGGAAAGGCAAATGTTTGACCTAGATTCAAGCAAAATAAATGAAAACTCTACACTTGAACTTACAGATTTTCATAAAAAACCAACTCTAGAACACTTGGAAGTGTATCAGAGGCTTATAAACACAGAACATCTTTACTAAATGGTAGTCCATAATCTTCTGGTTTCAGTCATATAAAATTAATGAAATGAGTTTCTATATCTGCAAAGCCAACATGTTTTGTCACTGTTTCAAATTAAAGCTGACTTAGATGCAAAATACGCTGCACTATTTTCAGTAATTACCTAATATCTTTATTTGCCTATCAGGAAGGTACTTATCTATGGAAATAGGAAAGCTTTTAAAGTTCTTTTAATTCTGTCAGGATGAAACTTAAGACATCATTTATGCAAGAGGACACCTGGCAGTGTAAATTATGGTTTTAGCTCGTATGACTGTCTTTGATGAAAACACAACCACATTGCCATTAAGAAACCCGCATCTTACTGCTCTCCAGCTAATACCACTGGGGAAGAATTTACAACTGTTCTCCCTAAGAAAAATAAAAGTCTTCCTCCCCAGGTGTTGGGGTTTAACCCCAGCCAGCAACTACGCACCACACAACTGCTTGCTCACTCCCCGCTCCCACCTGACCCCCTGCAGTGGGATGGGGGAGAGAATCAGGGGAAAAAAAGTAAAACTCATGCATTGACATACAGACAGTTTAATAGGACAGAAAAAGGAAGGGAAAATACTACTACTACTAATAGAATATACAAAACAAGTGATGCACAGTACAATTGCTCTCCACCTGCTGACTGATGCCCAGCCAATCCGTGAACTGTGGTGCCCCCAGTGAACTCCCCCCAGTTTATATACTGGGCACGATGTAATATGGTATGAAATACCCCTTTGGCTCGTTTGGGTCAGCTGTCCTGGCTGTCTCTCCTCCCAGTTCCTTGTGCACTCCCAGCTTCTGCTGGCAGGGGAATATGAGAAGCTGAAAAGTCTTTGACTTAGTATAAACACTGCTTAGCAACAACTAAAACATCGGTGTGTTATCAACATTATTCTCATCCTAAATCCAAAACACAGCGCTATACCAGCTACTAAGAAGAAAATTAACTTTATTCCAACCTAAACTAGGATACCAGGATAATACTCTTTAACTTTACTGTGATGAAGGGAAGCTTTTATTTCTGGATGTCAGAAGGCCCTTTGCTACCATACCAAAAATAGACTTGGATAAGTTGAATGTACTTTGACTAGACCATCAGTTCAGTAATACCATTTTCTGCACAAAACCAATCAGTTGTACAGTTTCATCTCTTCTTCCTCCCATAGTCAGAATTACCTACAATTAAATAGATAAGTGTAAATGCAGTGATCTCAACAAAACCACTTCTGTCAGTTGGTAACATTATATATTGTTTTCAGTAGGAACAGTGATACAGGCTCTGACTGATTGCGAGCAATGTCCTGGTTGATAAAACATGCATGCTAGCGAAGATGCTATACATCCAGGATGAAATAGGTTTTTGCTTGAATTGAGGGCTGTCAGAAATATACAATTCCTGATAATATTTGAATCTGAATATTTTGGTTTTTAAGAAAAGTCTCACAAACAAATAAAGCAGTAATAGTCTTTCAAGGCTTTCAAAGGAACAGGAGGTTGACAGATGAAGGTTTTTAGAGAGAGGGGAACCCTGAGAAAACTTACCAGCTCTTAATTTTAAGTGGTCACATTAAAGATTCTCAAAACCAAGAAGTCAAACTGTGATATCAGAAGTCTGAACTTCGCAGGTAAACTGAGTCATGTATTTGGTTGAATAGAGTTGGATATTGAAGCAGAGATTATATTCTTCTTTTTGGGTTAAGAAAACTGTGACTTTAGAAGGGTTGGCCGTTTCATTGTTTTTCACTTTTTGTTGGGGCAGCTCACTTGTATCAAGGAGATTATGCTCTTGCACTTGCAAAGTAGTCAAACTAGTTTGTGGAGATTCTGTCCATTGATGGTAGAGCCATGTCGTCTTGTCCAGCTCTTGTCCTTGGTAGTTTAGGACTGAAGTGCAACCATCACATCAAGAATACTATAAAAATAGTTAATTCCTAAATTCCTTTCTGTGTGCTTTGTTTGTTTCTATTTATTAAGGTGTATTAAAGCATTTCCAGTTTGGTTTGAATTTTTGTTGTTTGTTTGCTTAAGTGTTCTATATTAAGGTTAAAACCTGCTAATTCTTTTGTGTGAGACAGAACAGGATTTGATTCCCTTCTGGATGAAATGCAGAAGTGTAAAATGGATCCTAAGGTTTTACAATAAAAGAATTACAAGAGAACTGCTGTCATCCATACGTACTATGTTTAAACAACAGATAAAAAGCTTTTAACATGGTCAGTTGGAAAATGTTTTTAAAATACTTCCTGTTTTAAGATGGGATGCAACTATTGAGTGTAACCAAACCAAATTATCTAATCTCTGTTTTTAATGCTTTTTCAGCCAGAGTTGGGAAGACATCACTAATTATGTCTCTTGTCAGTGAAGAATTTCCAGAAGAGGTAGAGCATCCTTATTTGTTTTCTAAGTTTTATTTCTATCCTGTTGTATAATTTTTTTCAAAGAGTAAGTTAATAGGCTCTGCTTTAAAATAATGTTTCCTATTTAGAAAAAAAATAAAGTCTAAAACTGCATTAATGACTTCTGGAAGAGTGATGTAGATTGGTTTAAATATATCTCTGTGTGAAGATTAGGAATTTAAATTTTATCCAAGTTCCTTTCTTGTTTTTCACATGGTTAATTAAACTAATTCTTTGATATCTGAGGAATGTTAGGTTTTTTAAGCAGTTGAAGCTGCTCATAACTGGCAGCAGATTTAAACATTAGAGACTCATAAATGGAAGAGTGCTGAAAGAGGCAAGACACTCAATTTTTTTTCGAGTGTTGTGTTTAAAGAGCAAATAGATTGCAAAACAGATGAGGAATTAAAAAGTCACATTGTATAGCTTATACTTAGCCATTTTTTGTAACTAAGCGAGGCATTGCCTTTGCTTCTATTTTTTTAAGAGTGTTTTACTGACTCTTTTGAAGTAAAAAAACGCCGAAAACACTGCTTTCTTCCAGAATAAAAGTAAAGCTACTTCTACATTTTATTCCTTTAAAAAAGCAGCATATAGTTCTCTTTATACAGTAAAAAGAACTGTAGTTGCTGCAAATAGTTAAGCTTTTTACACATAAACATGAATGTTTATTTCTTCTGATCACAAGTCTTAAAATAGACATCATGTGCTGCTCTTTGAATCTACACTGCGCTGTGTTTAATGCAAATCAGTAGGTTACCACAGTTCATGAGTCAAGATTAGATTGTTAACATAATTGAATTTAGTTCCCAACCTTGCAGGTAAAAATGAGCTCCAGTTTCTGTTTGTTCTTAAACTGCTCAGGGACCCATTCCTTTGGCAGGTTGTTTGTTGATGTATTTAATGAATCATAGGCCTCTATTCACTTCTCAGCTTCTTCCTGCAGTATAATCTAGAATATTTCTCTAAATTCATGTTGAGAGAAAAAGCATCATTTATATATTACACAAAATCTGCCTGAACTTACAGAAATAACTTAAAAAAAACCCTGCATCCTATATAAACTGCTGAAAGAGACACATACAATTCCTGCAGGCCAGTCATGCAGATCAGAGCTATACGGGTGTGTGTAACAGACATTTCACAGACTTTGAAATAGTGTTTAATATACTGGGTATTATCTGTAATCATTCTTGATGAAGATGTAAGTAGAGCCTGAAGCTCTACAAAGAGCCATTCTTCTGGTGACTGGCTTTTTTTTTCTTTTTTTTTTTTTTATTAAAAGAAAACAAAAGTATCATGAAAGTTCAGTGTCAGCAGGTAAAAGGCAATAAATAGCTGTGCATGAAGTTTTCATTAAAATTAGGTTTAAGTTGACTCTTCCTGAATATGGATTAGTGGTCTCTGGAAAAAAGGGCCAGCAATCATAGCTAGTTTACAGCATTTTGCAGAACACGCCTTTTATTAGTATCATGTTTTGCTTTGCAGGTTTTTCTGAACTTAATGTTTAGCACTCTGTCAGAAGCAAGGAAGTTGTCAGGTTATGATTGTGTAAAAATTGAGACTTGTATTTTGTCTGTCATGCTTGTTTGCCATATCTTGAATATTTTATTACTTTTTTTAACAACTCATGCACTGTTTGCAGGGATAGTTCTTATACTGTTTTCAGTGGGAGTAGGATCAGGATATCTTGTGCAAAAATTAAAAAGTTTAAACATAGATTAAACAGTATTTAATTTGTCAATAATGGCATGCTAACTCTGATGTTATTCTCCTGCTAAAGAATGTGTAGCCCTTTGAAGTAATTGGCTGAATCTGATAACCCCTGAAATTTTAGAACTTTTATTTATATGACATTTTTGTTTAAAGTAAATTGCAATTCAAGTTTTGTTTATAGTTTTCACTGTTGTAGTAGTTCTGTATAGGTGGTTGGATATAGTGGATTTGAATTTTATAGAAGCATTCATTGAATCCCTTAACAATATTGCTTTATTGCAAAGCATGCAGGAAGTTCCTTATTCAGTAAGTAGACTAATAATGAGAAAGTAGCAGTGACTTTCAGTACATTGCAAAAAACCCCCCCAAAAGTACTTGAACTACTAATAAGTTTTTCTATTTAAAGCTAATTGGCAGGTGTACTACAGTATACAACTCTTTTTGACCATCTGGATTTTCTAGATTATCTTTAAAGGATTCTTCTTGCTGTTTCTTTACAACCCAAGGTTCCACCACGAGCTGAAGAAATCACCATTCCAGCTGATGTCACCCCTGAAAGAGTGCCAACCCACATAGTGGATTATTCAGGTAAGGACTACATAATACCATTACGGTTTGACTGATTTGGTATGGAATTGTTTATCTAATTCAATAGCGTCTTTAACAGTCATACAGGTATGGACCAAAGCTGCATGTAGGAAAACACTAGATTAAAGTAGAAACTCATCGGATGAAACAAAATCAGATGATGATGGCTGGTCCTAATAATTCAAAGGCTAACATTAACGGCTGTAGGTACTTCCATGAAAGACAGCTGTAGCAATATTCCAGTGAAGTTATTGTTCTTTGTGTGACAGACATATTTACAGGTTGATACAAAAGTGGGTACTTTCATGGAATTCAAAACTATTTTTCTTTCTTTCGGTGAAGAATTTACTAAGATGCGGGAGACTTTACATACCTTATATTCTATGTCTTTCTGAATTTCTAAGTTTGGACACCTTATCCTTTTGTGTTAGTTTCAGATTTTGTATTTTTCTTTTCTGATATATTCTAATCTCCTTGACTTTACTGAATAGATAAATAGGCTCAGTATCAAGGCTCATGTGCTATCATAAATATATGGAACTGTTGCACAGCTAGAAAAATCTTTCTGCCATTTATAATGGAAGCCAAGAATTAGGCCATGTTAGCAGATACCTTCCTGTCTTCTCTCTCCCACCACTGCTGAGGAAATATATTTGGTATGTTTACCTGTTTGAAACAAAGAAATAATGTGGGGGGTTTTTTGTTGGACTTGAGCTTAAATTTATGTGGAGTGAATTTTTCTTTCTGTTGGATGAAATGTTTCATAGATTCAGTTAACAGAAGCTTGGTCTCACTGAAAAAAAAACTGACACTGCAATAAAAGTAACACATGCCATATTCTGTTGTAAAAGTTTACATTATAGAACAATGTTGCTACTTACTGCCCCAGGAAGGGTCTGTTGATAAATGTAGCCGGATGCAAACTCTGACTTATTCCAGAGAGAATCTGTCTACAAATGTAATTATTCCTCTTTAAAATAGCTGCTAAAAAATTTGTGTGCAACAGACGGTTTACTGTCTTGTGAGTTAATGGATCAATTTCATCATTGTTACAGTAGAAGCACTCTAGTGCACTTTATAAAAAGATGTTTAAATAACAAGAGCTTTCACAAGGCTGTCTTATGAGCCTTGTGAAATACCCTAGTTCAGTTTCCTAACTTTTCAGTTTTGTTTGCAAAAATGTTTAGTATTAATGGATGGCTTATTCTGTTGACTGCAGAAGCAGAGCAAAGTGATGAGCAGCTTTATCATGAAATATCACAGGTAAGTATATTTTAGTGTTTACTAGAAAACAGTTCTGCCTTTGGAGAAATCTGTCCTTTTAAGTTCTCTTCATTAGATGGGCTTCAGTTTAAACTGAAGAAAAAAACCTTCTCTTGCTTTTTATTGCTTGGCATTTAATTTTGGTTTGTTTTGTGCTCTGTGCTATAGTAAACCTTCCTCTATTTAAGAAAAGTAGGTACTGCCACTGTGTTGGTGAATTGAGCTTAAACTTTGTCCTTCCAAGTGAAAGGACGATACATCTTTTAATCAGTGGCCAAGGGACTGACAGTTTTTGTAAAGAAATAACGCTACCCTGGAAAGATCCATTTCGGTTCTTTCTGTCATGTTGTACTATTGCATTTATGAATAGCAGGGGATTCTTGGTAATTTTATAATTCTTTGTCTCCTATTTTCAGTTCTTTCTGAGCACCTTTGTGCATTTTCTGTACAGTCTGTCATGGTGTTGTGTTCCATTTCTGACTTTTAGTTTGGTACTTGAGTGGAGGCTGCATATTATGATTCTTTAGTTTAGATTTCTTGGTTACATAGGTCTCTGCAGGCATAAACTGTGAACGTCACGCTGCAGGACATGCTTTTTGGCACTTCTCAACCTATAAATTATTTGGTTTAAGCTGTCATTCAGGCTACAAATAGCTTAAGTCAGGGACACAGTTTTTGACCAACGGTGGAACTGTTCTTACTCTGATGTTGTTGCATGTGGTTCTTAATTGTCTGTGTTGCTCTAGAGACTCTAAACAGTGGAATTCCATGCCTTTCTTTTCTTTTCATTTTAGGCAAATGTGATTTGTATAGTATATGCTGTTAACAACAAGAATTCTATTGATAAGGTATGGTAACCCATTTTATCCAGTTATTGCTTGAAATGTTACTTGTGCACTGTTACTTGTTGGCAAGCTGAAAATGGCAAGACATTCAAAATGCGTAAGATGGTGTTTGAGCTCAAGTTGTTAAAGAGAACGTACAGATGTATTATTGCTTCTGGTCCATTTCAACATCTGAGTTTTCAGTCATTTCAGTCATCTTTGAAAGTTGCTCATTAATCAACTCCAGTTTTCATTTGTTTCCTCCTTTGTGGGTAAATATGTGCCTTCTTGGGAAAGAAGCAGTAGCAGTTATAGTCGAACTTGTGCACAGTTCAGTCACATTAAATTTGAAAATGTATTTTTCATGTTTGTTTTTAAACCCACTTTAGGTAACAAGTCGATGGATTCCTCTCATCAATGAAAGGACAGACAAAGATAGCAGGTGCATAAGTAAAGATGAGAAGTGTGAATTAGGCTGCACATCGATGGGTGTCAATGGCCAGTGTTGAGGATGTTAATTGTTTAAGAAAAGCAAATTCTAAACTTAAAGTTTATATAAGAAGTCCAAGCAACAAGAGATTTAAAGTATGTAGGTCTGTTACATATACCAGCAATGCTATTTATTTTGAATTTCATGGGCAGCTTTTACCAGGTGTGTTTAAATTTGTTATGGTATAACTAGTTTTGGCTACATGGTCTGTATAGCTTTTCTACTGATGCTGGTTTTGTATAATAATAATATGATTAGTTACTTTTGTGTTTGACTGTGGTTTTTGTAGTATCAACAAGAAATACATTTCTATCTAAGTGTGTATCAAAACAATTTACTTAAAACTACTATTGTTTAGTTTTGCTTATAGGCTGCCAGTGATATTTAGTTACATCATGAAAATAATATAATGGCTTCTGGGGGGGGGGAGAATGCTAAGTTTAG